GAGAGAGAGAGAGAGAGAGAGAGAGAGAGAGAGAGAGAGAGAGAGAGAGAGAGAGAGAGAGAGAAGAGAGAGAGAGAGAGAGAGAGAGAGAGAGAGAGAGAGAGAGAGAGAGAGAGAGAGAGAGAGAGAGAGAGAGAGAGAGAGAGAAGAGAAGAGCGAAAGAAAGAAAGAAAGAGAAGAGCGAAAGAAAGAAAGAAAGAGAAGAGCGAAAGAAAGAAAGAAAGAGAATGAGAGAAAGAGAGAATGAGAATGAGAATGAGAAAGAGAAAGAGAGAAAGGAAAAAAGAGAAAGATACAGAAAGATACAGAAGGAAAGAAAGAAATATCAGCAAAAGCAAAGCCCTCCTGACAACAGACGTAGACAGAGCTACCGTCGTCCCGAGCGCTCTCGTCTTAACCCGTGCAGATAAGCGTAAAATGCAATTCCTCTGCGGCGAGAGAACCTTCGCTCTCACACCTCAAGTACAACGTCAACGGGGGTGGGAGGGAGGGAGTATGGGCGGGGTGGGGTGCAGTCGAGGGAATAAGAAGAGGCAGAAGGAAAGGAGAAAATTAGGAAGTAGCGAGGACGAGCACAGCGATAGGGATAAGGAGGAGGAATTGGAGAAGGAGGAGGAGGAAAGAGGAGCAGCGTGCAAGGAAATTCGGGCCAAAACGAACATAATCCCTGACGTCTCCCGGGGCATTTGCATTTTTAAGAGCGACTCCTTCCCCGCGGTACAGAATGTTAACACACGTTCCGGCGCTTTCATTTGGTTTCATTACAGTGGACGGGACCTCGGGGCCACGCAGCCAATTATGAGACTTGATCCTTCACTCAGCGCCACTTTGTTACCTTGGGCCGAGATAACTTGCCCTGTCTTTACGTAATGATATGACAAATACGACCTCGCGCGCTGAACTTTGCGCCGTCCCCCTCGCGTGCCGGCCCTCCTGCAGGCGATATCGCAGGGGCGGGCTTGGCGCGGGACTGGTAGGAGGAGAGAGGAAAGGGAATGGGAAATGGGAAGAATCCAGACATTACACAATTTGGGGAAAACGGAGGAGAGGGCACGATAATGATAATGATGATAGTGGTAATAATTATGATTATGATGATGATGATGATGATGATGATGATGATAATGATGAAGATGACAAACAAACAAGAAAGAAACAATGCAGAAGCAGCAGTGCAGCGTCGAAAAAGAGGAGGGAAAACATACCAAGAAAATACGACAAAAACGCCTCTCTAATGACGTGAGATGAAACGCCCCATCCCATGGGTAGGCGATCAAGGATGTCCTCAATATCTTTTCACATTCAAGGATTCCTCTGAGAAGAATGCAAGGCGACAATGCCTGGAACATGAGCCAAGTAGAAAAGGCAAACGAATTATAAAATCAAAATAAAATACAAAAAAAAGAAAGAAAATAAAACAATTGCAAACAATGTATAATTTGCATATAATCGTCAACATCAATATCCAAAGCGATACAAAAGAAAAACAGAAAAATGTTTACAGAAAAAGTACAAATAGCAAACGAGAAAAAGGCATCCTAGCCTCCCCATCCCGTAATGGGTGTATGGGCCGAACATCCCACATGTAAACAAGTGACAGTAACGCCATCACTCACGCATAAGGAGGTAACCCGAGAGGCGTCAGGCGAGATCACTGTTCTGGGACAGTGCCTGGGGCGGGCGGGACAGGGGAGAGGGGCAGCCAGGAGAGAGAGGGGAAAAGGAAACGAAAAATGCTCAGCTTGCTTTAAAACAACTGGAATGAAGATTAAGTCATGAAAAAGAATAAAAATACACGGAAAAAAGTGGAAAGCAGGTGAAGGTGGCTTCGCCATTAGCAGTTACGAGTATCAAGAGCCATAAAGGTCCAAGTGTTGTAAACATGGGGAGCGAGAAAGTGGTGTGGTGGAGTCCGCAGGCCTATGAGACCAGGCCTGGCATTACTAGCACTGAGAGAGAGAAAAAAAAGACTACTCGATAAGGGGTAAAGTGGGTGGCGTGGCGAGGAAGGAAGGCAGGGGGGGGGGGAGAGTCATAACACATCTTGTATGCGTGGCATTTTTATTCCATGCTTAACCCTGTCACCGGAGTGATGTATGGGCCGACAAAGTTACTAATCCTGAAGATGGATAAGCGAAGGTATGGATTATCCTAATCAATAGTCTAAATCCAGCAAGTCTAGGCGTGTCTCCTTTTTGGCTCTTTCTTCGTTTGCTTCTTTCTAGATTCAAATAACCCTGGTTGTTGGTTTGGCATTCGCGGGACATGAGGTCACGATGCTTTATGACTTTCACTAAAATTAAGAATTTAAGGTTAACGGACGTCGCACATGCACCAGGTCATTGGCAAAACTCCAAACAAGTATCAATCGTAACATTCAAAACTGCAGATCAGAAGCAACAAAAAAAAAATGTCGAAAACTAATTATACTGTGCAACAACATGAAAATGTTATTACTCATATTTCCATATTTGATTTCCATTTTTTTCTGATCAGCAGAAATATATTTCTTAGTAAAAAAAAAATCCATACACTAATAGCCGTCCTATATCCTGTACAAACGATCCCATACCTGACCCTCCACTCTACCTTCCCGACTACCCTACACTTATAATATCCGAGTCCAATTCCGTATATATAAAAAAGTAATTGGCCTTTTGTGTAACCATTCCACGAGCAATACCGGTTTCCTTATACAAAGCCAGTAGCTAAAACAACATCCACATCAACAACCTTCCCCAAGCCAGTGCGGAGGACAGAATATTAATATGAAGGAGGAGAATCCCCATCATATTAGGCATCGGGGGGAGACAAAAGGAGGGGAGAGGAGTAGAGGGGAGAAGTGGGAAGGGAGGGGAGTGTAATAGGTAGCGAATTATCTATCGCAGAAAATCAAATTGGAATCTGAGCCAGTCTCCAGGGCCAACCAAGCTGCTCTTCAACATTGCATTATCATTTTTTCCCGCGACGGTTTGCGCTTTGCACTCGTCTCACAGGGCACGGGCAAGGTGGTGAGCACGCGTGGGGCATGAGAGATACCCGACATACGGACTTTCATTCGGACTTCCACCTCTCCTTTACGTATGTGAGGTATGTTACAACCGGGTTTTCAAGCATGCTAATTAGAATAAACCTCATCTATATGATATTTGCTGACGTTTAAGCCATGTCTTGGCAAATATGACCACACTTTGATAGAAACTACTGGGAAACATATGAGTGCAGCTGTTGTATCAGAAGTACAATCGGAAAATGGGCTTCAAACACTGGTTCAAAGAATTAATCATATGTCAATATTAGTAAAACAAAAGAAACTCAAATGGAATGCAGACACATAAACAGTCTATCTCATTGTCTGTGTCTGTCTCTCTCTCTCTCTTTTATAAGCACACATAAATAAACACAAGAGCAAGGATAAGCACCCCCCCCTACATACACACACACACACAAGCACAAGCACACGTACGCAAGCACACGCACACACACAACTAAGAAGTAGGTCGTCCGCATTTCAAAAGCTCAAAATTCCGGATTTTCTGCAAATCTCAACAAAGTCGTCAAGCGCAGACAAATGACCGTCACACTGGAGCGTCTTGTCCCATGAAGACGGGGGTTAATTGACTAATAAATCATAACGGCGCCCTCTCTTCCGTTAATTCCAATTTCGCAGTCCATCTCCAAAGCCCGTCGCGAAAGTTTCCACGCAATGCAAACTCGACATTATTCTACATATTCCTCACGATGTTCGTCTTATTCCACTGATTCTCCTTCTTTCACATTTCGTTTGAAGATTTTGGAAATAAAACTGATATCTCTCCTCCCTCCCTCCCTCCCTCCACTCCGTTCCCCATGTCCCCACGCTCTCCAATCCACACAAGGCGTCGTTGATAAAATGTAAATTGACCTGTTTAGTGGAGCGGGAGCAGATTACCGCGGTTTCATGCTCTTCTGCCCACTCGAGCCGCTGCGGTTGTCTCTCGGACATCGCCTTCATAAAAACGAAAGAAAAAACTGCGACATAATTATTCTAAATACTTCCCTGCCGCTGCGAGGACGGGCTTCCTAGAGGGCGTGCGAGCCTCCGTCGGGAACACTGAAGGTGAGAGCTTATCCACTTGCACAAGCGGGGGCTCTCCTTCTCCTTCTCCTCCTCCTCCTCCTCCTCCTCCTCCTCCTCCTGCTCTTCTTCCTGTTCTTCTTCTTTCTGCTCCTTCTCCTCCTTGATCCTCACAGCCTCATTATCATGACCAAACTTTCCCCTCACACCTTCCGTGCATCTTTATTTCACTACCGACATTTACTGCGTCGCTTCTTAACTCTCACGGTTTTCTTTGCGAACTTTCTGAGAGGAGGTCAAGTTTGTCGTGGCATTATTTCTTTTTCTATCTTTCTTTCGTTTTCTATAGCCCCACCAGAAGCAAGCTGTCTCACCAGCCTCTCCTTCCTCCTTCGATACTCTTGGGTTGGGGCTATCCTTCCTTGCCATGGGCGAAGGACTGCAATGCTCCACGCTTGGCACTTCACGTCTCCACACGGGGCCCGTTTCCTAACCCATCCATCTCCCCACTCTCATCCTCCCCCCTCCGTCCCCACAACACACTACTACACTATGGAGCAAATCTTTCTCATCCTCTCGTGGAGTCCCGGTATTTTTTCCGTCCTCCTGAGTTCACAAGTGGACTCCTTTCACCGCTGTGACGCAGGTCGGTGGAACGAGAGGTGGAGGCTATGGCCGAGGGCGATGTCTCTTCTGATGCTACAAAACACTGCAACTTGAATACACCACAAAATGTCGTTGGCAAAATACCAAATAAAACACATATATCATTTATTCAGCTTTTAAAACAAAATCGGAAAGCAAAGCTCCTTGGCATCGCGCGCTTGTGCATGTGTGTGACCCGTGAGGGGCGAAGTTTCCGTATCAACACTTTTGACTTATGACGGCACATGGACAACACAACGAGCAGAGAGCATCCAGCCAGCATGCAGTCGGGAGCCACCTGAGAGGGTTGCACGGGCTCCGGTCCACACAATATCCTCGGGGTGGGAGTGTCTCGACTCCAACACGTGCGTGACGGGGCGAGAGCGGACACAGGGGCGGCCGGCGAGGTGGAGGGGCGCTGTGCCGGGCTGCACCACCGACTCCCTGGCTGCCGCGGCCCACACTGCCCGTCTCCCGCGACCCGCACCCGCCCCGGCCCAGCCTGAGTCCCTTCCCGACCCCGCCGCCGCCGCCGCCGCCGCTGCTGCTGCTGCTGCTACACTCCCTCCACCTCGACCTCACGCCGCGCTCGCGTTGGCACTCTACTCGCTCCTGCACTATCTACACCTTGGCCATTTACCCAACTCTGATACGTTGCACACCTTAGTACTTAGCGTACTCTGGCGACCCTTTGACTCACCACACCGACTTCACCGGGCACTTTATATACCAAGGCACTGGACTTAAAATTCTGAAACTCGATTTTTTCCAAAGCTTTTCAGCTTACAAAAAAATCACTCTTTCACGTTGCAAATACTCACTCTCAATCCTCCGTTAATTCAGGCACTCACTCATCAGGGCAATCAATCAAATCTGGCCTCCTAAGCAATCTGACATCACAATCAGAACAATCCAAACGGCGTCATCCAAAGGATTCCCTTGCAAGCTAACCAACTTCCCCATAACCACCATACTTCACGCGAACCATTATTACATAACACACCATTTATCACAACCTCTTTCCGCCAGGCGAACCAAACGCACCACATTTCACCTGGCAACCCACCTGCGCTGCCCGCCTCACTATCCTCACACGCGCTACACAAGAAAAAAAGAAAGAAAAATGAAAACGAAAAGAATACCTGCCTAAAACAACCGGTAATTAATTACAGTGTTTACATGCAACAAGTAAATACACCGATACCGGAAAGTGAATAATGAATTACAATTTCTTTTCTCTTTTCGATGCGCGCCGAGACGAGCAAAAACGCCTCTGAATCATGGTTACCGATCGTATGTAGCAAGTGATAATAGGCAGCATACGTGTGGCTGGCGATGACAAGTGTCACTAACAGGTGGTGGTGGCAGGTGGTTGTTTACCTTGCAGGAGAGGAGTAGCGGTGTTGGCAGTCAAAACAACGGATGTCAGCAGTGAAAGGAAACTCAAAGAGCGTCAGTTTTTACAGTGGATACGGCCCATTAAGCGCATGGATTTATGCTGGGGAGTGTATGTATGTGCACATGTCCACGCGCAGCACATTTACTTACACAGCTCTGTATTCGTTGTGTAGGCATGTTGGCATATGAACTAGCAACGTTCAAATACGGCATATGTACTGTATCTATATACCCGCATTTTTATTTGCTTTGCATGGGAAAGCGAGAAAATAGGAACATGGGTGGACGGATGGGTGAATGAATGGAAGACTAGGTATTAGGTACACTCGGAAATGTATGGCTGGATGGACGGCGGGATGGATGGTTGGATGGCAGTATGGATGAATAGACTGATTAGTGGATGGATAGTTGGATGGCAGTATGGATGAATAGACTGATTAGTGGATGGATAGTTGTATGTATGAATGTATGAATTTATGTATGTATGGATAAATGGGTATATGGATGGATGGATGGATGGATGGATGGATGGATGGATGGATGGATGGATGGATGGATGGATGGATGGATGGATGGATGGATGGATGGATGGATGGATGGATGGATGGATGGATGGATGGATGGATGGATGGATGGATGGATGGATGGATGGATGGATGGATGGATGGATGGATGGATGGATGGATGGATGGATGGATGGATGGATGGATGGATGGATGGATGGATGGATGGATGGATGGATGGATGGATGGATGGATGGATGGATGGATGGATGGATGGATGGATGGATGGATGGATGGATGGATGGATGGATGGATGGATGGATGGATGGATGGATGGATGGATGGATGGATGGATGGATGGATGGATGGATGGATGGATGGATGGATGGATGGATGGATGGATGGATGGATGGATGGATGGATGGATGGATGGATGGATGGATGGATGGATGGATGGATGGATGGATGGATGGATGGATGGATGGATGGATGGATGGATGGATGGATGGATGGATGGATGGATGGATGGATGGATGGATGGATGGATGGATGGATGGATGGATGGATGGATGGATGGATGGATGGATGGATGGATGGATGGATGGATGGATGGATGGATGGATGGATGGATGGATGGATGGATGGATGGATGGATGGATGGATGGATGGATGGATGGATGGATGGATGGATGGATGGATGGATGGATGGATGGATGGATGGATGGATGGATGGATGGATGGATGGATGGATGGATGGATGGATGGATGGATGGATGGATGGATGGATGGATGGATGGATGGATGGATGGATGGATGGATGGATGGATGGATGGATGGATGGATGGATGGATGGATGGATGGATGGATGGATGGATGGATGGATGGATGGATGGATGG